AATTGGATTTGTGACCATGTACCAATATAATACTCATACATTTTATATGATTAACTGGTTATATGAGTTGAAATATTCAAGAATACAATATCCATTAAATTCAGCGAGGGCAGAAAAGTTATTACGAATAATGTCCCGGCTGTTCACGTATAATATAAAACCAACCTATGTCATTTTAGTTTTGACCGCTACTTTGCTTAATGTTATAGAAACGTACCGCTCGTATTCAGCGGTACCATCGTATTTAAAATTAGTAATCATGGTCATATTCAATATAATATTCATTTTATCCATAGTCCCTGGTATTACAATAGTTGTGATTGGTTTCATTGAATGGTTTACAACCACTTATTATTTGAAACACAAATACCTGGAGATCTGCCATAAGATAGCATTGAGTGTTAAATACGATACCAAACCGCTATTAATGGCGGCTATCGTTGAACACCATTATTGGGAAATACAGACCAAACGGTTGAACCACTTTTTCCGATGCATTACTTTCCTTATCTACTATTTTGGCACATTTGCTATACAACTATTTATTTACATGACATACCACCCTGCTGCCACTCTAGAAGTGCGGTTAATATTTATTAACTTGGTAATATTAGGGTCAACGCTAGTAGTATTTATGAATGTGATGAGCGCATGGATCACAAGGGCTGCCCACAAACCACTGGCACTCCTATTGCCGATGATTTCTAGCCGTAGACGAGTGCTATCAGTGAGGGATAGACTGCGAGTGCAGGCATTCATAGAGAGGTTGTGCGGACCGGCAATCGGTTACTATTGCTATGATTTGTTTCCTATGAATAGCTATGAGTTGTATCAATACGTATACATCTCTGGTCTTAACTATATTTTAATTATGTCATTATTTTAATTGCCACAACAATACAGTAAATATAATGAAAGCAATAAAATATTTGTAACATATTACATAAATAGTTATATATATATTGCAACGTTCAGAGACCGTAAGCGCCGCCTGAGGGCGTAACCTACTTTTTGCTCGTGTATGGTCTGTACCGCCATATACTACCAGTCCTTAAGGTCCACACGCCTAACGCCATCATCTCGTCTCGTCGTGTAAAATACAAATACATTTTGAAACAATTCATATAAAATAATTAGTTTATAAATAGAAATATTCATATTTTCGTATAACTAATATTCCTGGTACAGTTTGTTATTTGTTGTTAGTTTGAGTTAGTTTCTATAGTAATCTAGTTTGACCTTAATGCAAATTGAATCATAATAAAATATAATATATTGCGATTTTTGAAGTCAAAAGTTGTATATCTTTTTTAATTAAAATCTAAATCAAAATTTTTAAATATACAATGGATTTACTAAATATATTTGCAATGAATACCTATTTATTAATCAAATATATTATAAACAGTTTAAATAAAAATAACTTTCATGATAAAACTACAAAGTAGATACTGTATAAAAAGTAAATATTTGCTGTATATTAATAAATATAGAAATAAGTTTTTGGAAACCTAATTTTATTATTATTTTTTTTAACATCATCATTAAAATATATGTTAATTCACTGGTTTTTATTATCAGTAAAACATTATTTATTTATATCATTTTTATTTTATTACTATGTTAGACTAAAAACAATCGTAATTAGACAAAAAATACTTAATTAACATCATACATAATACAAATACCACTACAATACTGTATGTTAGCATACATATACTTTACAGTATTATAGTATAATACTATTATATTATATGTAGTAGTAAATTATATAATTTATTTAAACACCTTTCGCAAAATAATGTTTAATAATTTGTTAATAGAGTTTAGTAATATAGTATTGCAATAAATCAAACAATTTAAAATAATGCTAACTTTTTAAACTACAATTAAATTCTAAGTTCACATGCACAAGTGCATATACCGTATATTATACAATCAGATATTTCTGAAATTTAAAAATAATTAATTTAACTTTATCTTTTATATATTAATATAACAAACGATCAATTAAAATGTACGTTTAATTCTCTGAGACATTGGCAGCAAATTAAACTTTGTTTCGGTTATACTTATTAAATATTGCGAATAAAATGAATGGCCTTTTGATAGCAATTTATTGTGTGTTTCGTCAAACGTCGGATCATTTGCGAGAATATTCTTATCGATAGACCACTCGTTATATTTGGACAACACTTGCCGACACTCCGGTCTCCGATGCCATAAGGGGTACGTCAACATAGATATCAGCAAAGTTTGTAACCTGTGTACTGGATCACTTACAAAAGGATTTGCGGTAGAATATGGAAGTGGACTATATTTATATAAAGAAAATAAATAAATCTGAAATTATTCATATCAAAACCATGATTTTTATATTTTTAATACTTGTCAGGATCAAATGTTGTAAAATTAAATTCAAATAATTTTCCACCAATTATAGCCAGGCTATAAACATCGCATTTATTGTTATACTTTAATCCCTGTTCTACTTCTGGGGCAATAAATCTAGTAAATCAAATAATAATACAGTATATCGATATTTTACCTATACATCTATCACATTAATGCTATAGGTTAGTACAAATATAGTTTTTCGTTTTGCATTTGACATTTAAAAAATATTTACAAATTAATAATTTATAATTTAGCTTACTATATTAAATGTACAATACTTATTATATTTTATATTAACATTATTTTACAGTACTTATGATTATACAATTTTGTTTATGATATCAATAAAAATAATTAAATATAACGAGTAATGAAACATTTATTTAAAAATAATTTATTGTACTGTGTAAATAAAATGCAGTATACTCAAAGTACAATATAAATATTTACAAAGCGTAAATTAAAATAGTATGTTATTTATGATATATTATTTTCAATTTAGTTATAAATATTTAAACTGTTTTCAATATAATAAAACGTGATATTTTATTTGAACAATTGTAATTATTTGCTATTTATATATTGCATTTCCTTAAGTCTATTTGCCTGTTTTATACTTTTCTAAATATTATATCTTTAAATAGAAAATTTCAAAATGTAATTAAAATAAAGTTATAATTAACATATAATTACTGCCAGCGATGTATAAGTATTGATACAATTCATAGCTATTCATAGGAAACAAATCATAGCAATAGTAACCGATTGCCGGTCCGCACAACCTCTCTATGAATGCCTGCACTCGCAGTCTATCCCTAACTGATAGCACTTGTCTATGGGTCGACATATACGACAATACCAGTGCCAGTGGCTTATGAGCAGCCATTGCTATCCACGGACTCATAAAATTCATATAAACAACAATTGAGAATATTAGCAATATAAAAATAATACACAAAATTCTCAATGATAATAAAGTATCATGGTGATGAGACATGTAGATAAACAATTGCATTCCAATTGTCCCGATGTAATAGATAATGAAAGTAATTGCACGGAAAAAGTGGTTCAACCGTTTGGTCTGTATTTCCCAATAATGGTGTTCAACGATAGCCGCCATTAATAGCCGTTTGTTATCGTATTTAACACTCAATGCTATCTTACGGTAGATCTCAAGGTATTTGTGTTTCAAGTAATAACACGACATAAACCATAATACAAAGCCAACCCAACAAAATGCAATACCTGTCATAAGACTGTGTAATATGTTTAAATCAAATATTATCATGATTATAAATTTGGATATTATAGGACTCTCTATAAATATAATTAGTAAATTAGTTGCATTAATTGCACTTGCAAATAATACTAATATTATATAAGCGGGCCATATTAAATAATTTAATACATGTAGTATACTAGTTAATTTTATCATATTATCATTATGTAATGGATATCTAAATAAATTATACTTGACCTTGTTCAATATGTCAAGGGAGTAAAATGTACTTGTTAATTCCTGATAAATAGTAACCACACCAATTGCTAGCATGGTTATTGATACCGCTAGTATTGCCATATAAAATAAAAATTTTACTTTTATGTGTTTCCAATCTAATAGATGTTCAAGCACATTTTCATTGGTGACAAATCCAGTGGCTAAGAATCTTAAACAAGTTAAAAGTAGTGATAATCTGGATACAATAACCATATAATAGCGCCAATTCCGTGATAGAGTACGGGAACGTCGGTTCGAGTCTCGCATGTATTCATCAGTATTTCTACTGATTATGCAAAACGTGTTTTTCATAAATAACTCTAAATTTTTAATTTCAACTCTTATATCGCTTTCAATTTTAGCCATAATTTTAAATAATAATAATAATATATTAAATATAATATTTCAGTAAAATTTTAAATATTATTAACTTTTATAACTTAGTTTATTAATTATTATGTTTTAAGAATTACAAATGTTATACTGAATTTTAGTACAAAAATAATCAATTGTTTAAATAAAAATAACTTTTGCCAAACTACAAAGTACATACTGCATAAAAGTAAATATTTGCTATATATTAATAAACGTAGAAATAGATTTTGTTAAGAAACCTAATTTTATTGTTTTATTTTTTAAGGTCATCATTAACATCTATGCTAATGGTTTTTATTGTCAGTATTACATTCTTTATTTCATTATTATGTTGTTACTATGTAGACTAAAAACATAATAATAATTAAAATCATACATATTATATACAATATATAGTATATTTTATATGATTTAATGTTACAATATAATACAATTGTAGTAAATTTAATTTATTTAAACACCCTCCACCAAATACTGTTTAATAATTTGTTAATAAAGTTTAATAATACAAATATTGTAATGAATCAATCAATTTAAAATAATGCTAACTTTTTAAATTACAATGAAATTATAAGTACACGTGCACATTTGTACAATATATACCGTTTATTATCCAATCAGATATTTTTTTAATTTAAAAATAATTAATTAAACTTTATCATTTATATATTAATATAACAAACAATCAATTAAAATGTGCGTTGAATTCGCTGAGACATCGGAAGTAAATTAAACTTTGTTTCGGTTATACTTATTAAATATTGCGAATAAAATGAATCCCCTTTTGATTGAAATTTATGGTGTGTTTCATCAAACATGGGATCATTTACGAGAATATTCTTATCGATAGACCACTCGTTATATTTGGACAACACTTGCCGACACTCCGGTCTCAGATGCCATAAGGGGTACGTTAGCATAGATACCAAAATAGTTTGCAAACAATGTGCTGGATCATTTACAATCCCATTTATGATTGAATATGGCTGTAGACTATATTAATATACAGAGAATAAATAAATTCCCCAAGACCACATTTATAATTAAATATATTTTATAAAATACATACTTGTCAGGGTCAAATGTAGTAAAATCAAATTCAAATAATTTTCCACCGATTATAGCCAGACTATAAACATCGCATTTATTGTTATACTTTAATCCCTGTTCTACTTCTGGGGCAATAAATCCAAGAGTACCCATATCTGCGGTGTGCTTGTTAATTGTCAACATATGAATAGTTTTGTCGTGAACTTTAGCTAAACCAAAGTCACATAACTTAACAAATCTACCGTTTCTTACGTTCCTATCGATCAATATATTGTCGGGTTTGAGGTCTCTGTGAATGATCTGTGGATTCAATTCATGCAAATACTGAACACATTCTAAGATCTCTCGGAATATTTCACACGAAATGAAATACTCGTAACAATTCAGTGGTTCTCCTGATTGTCGACCAAATTCTTGGGGTTTGCGTTGAAGAATATTCTGCAGACTCTCTGAACATAACTCCATTTGTATGTAATAGGAGTCCCCTTCAGGCCATGAATCATAATATTTTACACAATACTTTGCGTCAACTTTTGCTAAATTATTTATTTCGTTAAATGTTCTTGATGTTTCTTTTTCGGTAAAATCTATAATAAAGAAATAATTCAAAAAATTACAAAAACAAATAATTTTTTTAAATACAACCTTTCATGTTTATCAATTTAATAGCGTAATTTAAATTATCATGTTTATGTTTCACATTGTAAACCTTCCCAAATGCACCTGAACCGATTAGTAATATTTGCTTAAAGTTCACCTGGTAATAATTTTCTCTAAGATTAATTGTCATATAACTAACACCCAATTCATTGGTGTAAAAGTCGTTAAAATTATTAAATGGTGTTTCAATTAATTCGTTTGATTTGTTTAACAGATAAATATTATCGCCGCCCGAAAGGGGTATGAAATCGCGTTGACAACCAAAATTAATTGGACAAATATGATGCAGTACCCCTTTCATCCAGCTAGATAGATTCAATTGATTGCCAAATAATTCAATTTTCGTGCATTTTGTGACCAGGTTAACTTTATTATAATGAATATAGTAAATATAAAAAATGCCTGACCTTGATAAAAAACAACATTTCATTGTTAACATCAATTTCTGTGTTTTGTTTATTATTCAACCAAAAACACCTTGACATTGACTTTATAATAAATGCTGATTTTGAGGTGTAATGACCACCTGATGATGTGGTTAATTCTGTAATAATTTTTTTAAATACAACCTTTCATGTTTATCAATTTAATAGCGTAATTTAAATTATCATGTTTATGTTTCACATTGTAAACCTTCCCAAATGCACCTGAACCGATTAGTAATATTTGCTTAAAGTTCACCTGGTAATAATTTTCTCTAAGATTAATTGTCATATAACTAACATCCAATTCATTGGTGTAAAAGTCGTTAAAATTATTAAATTGTGTTTCAATTAATTCGTTTGATTTGTTTAACAGATAAATATTATCGCCGTCCGAAAGGGGTATGAAATCGCGTTGACACCCAAAATTAACTGGACAAATATGATGCCAGCTAGATAGATTCAATTGATTGTCAAATAATTCAATTTTCGTGCATTTTGTGACCAGGTTAACTTTATTATAATGAATATAGTAAATATACAAACTGCCTGACCTTGATAAAAAACAATTGTAAAGTAACAATTGTAGTTAAAGACACAAAACAAATAATAAGTTGGTTTTTGTGGAACTGTAACTGAAATATTATTTACGACTAAAACTCCACATTACTGGTGGACTACTACACCAATTAAGACATAATAAATGCGGTTTTATAATAAACCCCGATGAATTACAGTCAATATTAAAATTGCCCCAATAATATACAAGTCCCCCATAAGTTATGGCAAATGATGAAACCACACCACAATATATACTAATAATTTTTGTATCATTATTAAATTCTAATAAAATAGGTTCACAAATATTGTGGTCAAGTGAGTCACAACCTATCTGTCCCTCAACATTACGGCCCCACCCGTACACCTGTCCATCGACTGTTAGGGCCAGACTGTGTTGCGAACCACAACTAATTTGTTGAATATTTTTGTTGTCAAAAAGTAATATTTTTTGAGGTTTTAAAAATATGTCTTTTGGAGTCACATCTCTAGCCAACTGACCCATAATATTATGACCCCAACTTGTTGCGAACCACAACTAATTTGTTGAATATTTTTGTTGTCAAAAAGTAATATTTTTTGAGGTTTTAAAAATATGTCTTTTGGAGTCACATCTCTAGCCAACTGACCCATAATATTATGACCCCAACTGTAGATACATTTTGAGGCACTCATAGCCAGCACAAAGTCAGAGCCGATATAGAAGTGTTGAATGCGTTTGTGACACAATTCCGGTATAATGTGGGGGGACGGCACTGCAATATTATGTCCAAAACCCAGACATCCCTTGAAATTATAGCCCAAACCATATACCTTATCATCATTTGTGACGTAAAATATATTAGTATTATTAGAATTTCTATTAAATACATGAATTAATACAATATTTTGTTTTGTTGTATCAGGGATATTAGCGCAAACTTTGTTTAATAATAAAGACATTGTAGCATAAATATTTATATTTAAAAAATTATTTATTATAAATACATACAATATGGCGATGTAACAAGTAACTTTTTTATGCAACGTTGCAAATATGATTTATTTTATGATCATTATTAATAATCGTATCACATCAAAATCCCAAAATCATAATCCCGAAATCAAAATCCCGAAAATATATCAATATTTATTTTTAATTTAGTTAATAATATAAAATTTATTGATATTATTAGAGTAATTATTTTAAAGCTAATTAGTGTCATACTAGTAAATAAATATCTCATCAATTATTAAATATTGTAATTATTTGTGATTTTTATTAGTGTATAACCAGTGTATGATTCAAAGCGTGAATTGAATCCACAGATAATTCACAGAGACCTCAAACCCGACAATATATTGATCGATAGGAACGGACGGAACGGTAGATTTGTTAAGTTATGTGATTTTGGTTTGGCTACAGTTCACGACAAACTCATTCATTACAATACTAATTGTAAGCATACGACTGGTGTGGGCACTATAAAGTATCAAGCACCAGAGATTGGTCAAAGTAAACGCTATGACCATAAATCAGACATTTATAGCCTGTCACTAATTGGTGGTGAAATCTTTGACCTTGATTTGTTTAGTATGGATGTCAATAAGTAGATAATAAGTTTAACAAATAATTTTATTCACTATTTAATGTATCATGTTATTTTCTAGTTTAATTACAAATTATCCTAAAAATGGCGAATTAAATGGAAAAGTATTATATTTACAAAAACTATTGCTGACTATGATGTCGACCCCGGGATGGCATAAAAGGCCCGAATGTTCACATTTATTGCACGTATATAGCGAATGGGCTGTCGATGGGAAATACATTAAAAATAATTATCAAAATTTAATATTAAATAATTATTGTTTAGGTGAACATATGATTTTGAAAAATATTTTATTAAAAGCATTAAAATGAGCTTACTTGTTAGTATAATATTTTTAAATTTTTATTTCTAAATATTTAAAATTACCCTGAAATAGTATAGAATGCATTAAATTATACCTTTATATAATATACAAGCAAGTCCTTTTTTGAATAGTATGTTATGTAATACAAATATAAATTGCTGATAAAAAGAGGCTTTAATAATATATTAAAAATACAGTAAATGTACTGATATATTGTAATCTTAAATCCGTGCAACTAGTGGTTGTCAATTGATATGGTTATTGACATTTGTAGTATTATCACAATTAGCAATAAAACACATAAAATATCCTAAAAGAAAAGATTATTATAAACATTGAATCGTATAAAAAACTTGTATAACGTATTATTAATAATGATCATAAAATAAATAATATTTGCAACGTTGTATAAAAAAGTTACTTGTTACATCGCCATACTGTATGTATTTATAATAAATAATTTTTTAAATATAAATATTTATGCTACAATGTCTTTATTATTAAACAAAGTTTGCGCTAATATCCCTGATACAACAAAACAAATTATTGTATTAATTCATGTATTTAATAGAAATTTAAATAATACTAATATATTTTACGTCACAAATGATGATAAGGTGTATGGTTTGGGCTATAATTTCAAGGGATGTCTAGGTTTTGGACATAATATTGCAGTGCCGTCGCCCCACATTATACCGGAATTGTGTCACAAACGCATTCAACACTTCTATATCGGTTCTGACTTTGTGCTGGCTATGAGTGCCTCAAAATGTATCTAAGTTGGGGTCATAATATTATGGGTCAGTTGGCTAGAGATGTGACTCCAAAAGACATATTTTTAAAACCTCAAAAAATATTACTTTTTGACAACAAAAATATTCAACAAATTAGTTGTGGTTCGCAAC